TGGTGGGGCGGTGTGTAAGGCAGGGGCAAAGCAGTAGCGTGGTTGTTTTGCATGAGAGAGCGGCCATGGGCGGGTGGCGGGTGCCGACGCCACGGCGGGCGTAGGGTGGGGGGCGAGGCGGTGCAGGGCGGGAGGGGCGGGGAGGGGCGGGGGAGGGGCGGGGGAGGGGCGGGGAGGGGGGCGGGGAGGGGTTGGGGAAGGGGTTCGGGGGAGGGCGGGGAGGGGAGGGCGGGGAGGGGAGGGGCGGGGAGGGGAGGGGCGGGGGAGGGGCGGGGCGGGGGGGAAGTGACGGGGCGAGGCGGGGCAGGACAGGATGGATGGAGCGGGGCGAGGACGGGTGTGGGGGTCGGGCGGGGTAGCGCGGGAGGGAGTGGGGCGTGGGGCGGGAAGAAGGGAACCCTTGCTTCCCCATTTTCCACGTGACCGGCTCAGGGCATCAACTGATGTCACTGCAGTAACAGGACTGCAGTAACAGTCACTGCAGGACCAGGAGGTCCTAATTTTCTGACAGTAGCAGAATTTTCGACACTAGCTTGTCAGCCAGGTCGAATTTAGTGGCTGTCTGGAGGAGTATTCTAGTTAAAGGCTGCTCTGATCGGTCGTTTCCCGTGTTTTTTCCGATCAACACCAGGCGAATGGCGAAACAGCACCCTAAGAAACGGGCCACGGACCGTGCGAATTTTTCCTTTCTCTTCCTTGCCTTATCCTCATCCCTTACATACACACACAGTAACACGCACTACACATGCATACATGTCGGGTGGCCCCTCCTCCTTGCAGTGTCAATGACTCGTTTGCCTTCCCTTCCTTGCCCCTCCTGCCTTGTCATTTTCTCTACTCCCTCATTCTTTCCTCACCCCTTTTCTCCATCTTTCTCTCTCTTCGCTGCCCCGACGAGTCCAGACTATCCTCGGGTTGCCTCGCCCTGGCCTGCCTCCCACGAGGTTCCTCGTGAGCAGGGGCTGACCCTTGGGAAATCTCGTCTCCTTCCCTTTCCCTTAAGATAATCTTTTAAGGGATTAGAAATCAAGTTTAAGGATATAAAGAAAATCACTAACGTGGGGAAAGTATTTCTATATTTAAACTATTACTTTTTATGTTTATATAAGTCAGTTAAACATAGTTACACGAACGGATATTCTTAATCTTTCACTAAAGAATTAAGTTGTCCGTTTTGAAGATTTTGTTGTTTAGAAAATACTGACAAAATATTTGCTTTGAAAATATATTTTAAATGTGGTATAATAACAGAACCCGAAATATAGATAATAGGTTGTTGATTAGATCCTATCCTCAGAAGCTACTTCAAAAAAACTTAACATTTATGCCCTTATTAGAAAAGTTATTAGGAAACTATAACCTTCTTTAGAACTTTTTAAGAATCATCCACAAATAATTATGTTACGTAGTAGACATGAAGATGTTTCATTGCATGAAAAATGATACATTTTCGAAAATATCTTAAACACTATATTGTTCTGTACCAAACTTCACAAAAATATTGTAATATTCGAGAACGCGCTGACGTAGCGGTACGCAGGGACAATGTCTAAATAGGTAACCACCGCAAACAAACCAAACATAGGTATTTCTACAAAATTATACATGCACCGTAGAAGGTTTCAAAATAGTACTTTAGTAGCAGTTAGAAATTACTGTTCTAATTTTATTAGACACATCTGGGATTGTCAAAAGCTACGATCACAGCGATCAACTTTGACAATCCTAGTGAGAGTTAGCTGATTTATCTCAAAAGTGCATTTCATGAAATAATACTCTACTCACGAACAAATAAATAAACAAATAAATATCGTGATTTATGCTTGATTATGCAATACTTAGTGGTTCTCACTGAGATAATTCTTTGGGGGTAGTCTTGAAATATGGTTGTAGCGCCTCCAGCATTTGTGGATTCTCATAGTAGATTTCTTCTACTATTATTTTTAATACAGTAAATTTTTCATGTCAATATCTGCTTTTGTAACCTCTGTCGCATTTAAGTTGAAGACATTTTCAGTCGGGTTCTTGTCGGAGGCCAGGTTGAAAAGTATTTCCCACGCATTCCGCTTGTAACGATTCTTATTACATTGCATTACATTGCATGTCTGCAGAAATTACCACACCGTGAAAATTTGAAATGTG